TTTCAGATGCTGATGATACATTTTGTATTTTTCATGACAAATGAAACATACCCCCTATGCAACAGGACGAAAAGAACACTAAAGTAAAGTCAGAACTCCTCAAACCTTGGGACTAATGATGCAGGCTACCAGCCAAAAATCCTGACTAAAAGTACGCGCCCGAAAATCTTGCAGACTGGCAACCCAACAACTAGGACAGGTAAATCTTGCAGACTGCCAACCAGGAATCAAGCATTAAAGTGGGGCCCGTTAATCTTGCGGACTGTTATCCAAGAAGCGAAAATCAAATTAGGGGCCCGTGAATCTTGCAGATTGCCAATCAACAGTCAAAATTTTTCAATCGGGTCTGTACCCTGGACAAATGGAACAATGATAAAAGTAAAACTCCTCACACCCTTGGACTAATGGGGCGTACCTTGGACTAATGGGGCGATGTCAAAAATACATCAGAACTCCTCAAACCCTTGGATTAATGGGGTGTACTTTGGACTAATGGGGCATACCTTGGACGAATGGGGCTACGATAAAACCCTGACACCCATGCATGCCAAAATCTTACAACGGTGGATCTCAGAAAACCAGCAAAAAATGGAACATGACCACCCCAAAACTAAGCCAGCCGCCTCCTCAACAAATCCTGAAACGAGCGGGAAACCACCATAAAACACGCATGTTCTTGGAACACGAACACCCCAAAACTAAGCCAGCCGCCTGCCCAAGAAATCCTGAAATGAGCATGAAACCACCATAAAACGTGAAGTAACGAAAAGCGCACAGTCAAATACACCTTAATTTCATGTTACTATCTTTAGTAGTGATAATGATAGTCGTTGTAGTAGCGGCTCACAAAATCTGTGGTGCCTAATGCTTTGATCAGATGAGTCTATATCATAGTTGTTCGTTCAACTTACTGCATCTTTGTGTCCTATACACACTTTGAAAATCCCTTTCTGGAATACCAAGCTGGATGCTAGCTCTGACAAACCTACGGCTGTCTGCAACAGCCAGCTCAAAGCTGAGACTGAGGCGCTGACAGAATTGTGCTGAGCAGACGACTGCGCACAGCCCATGGCTGAAGGAAGGCTCCAGCACCAAGACTGGACGAGTCAAACGACACGCTAAAGCAGGAGCAAGAAGATGACCCGAGTCTTAAATTGATTTTGCAGGCTCGCTATCCTGCCACCTGTAGCGCATGCTCTTTGACATCCGTGAGGAATCCACCAACTGTTGCATGGAGCAATTGAGCCGAGCTTTGTCACAACTCCACAGTAAGGCGTACCATGCAGCGACAATGTGCCGGTCTAAGATCCGTGTTGATGCGGCTGCTGGGACCTCTTTGTTGATCCGTGCAGTTTTCGATGCTGTAGCGCGTAAGCTTGAGAACCACTATCAAGGGCTGGTCACCATCATTCGAACTTATATTCTGGCCAACTTTGGGATGCTCGACGCATAAGACTGTGACGTGTGGCTGCACATGGCAACCAGCCAGCGACAGTGATGCCGGCGGATCCGGCTGCACTAATCCACAAAGCTAAAACTTGAAAATCCAGCGACTGCTGTGCAGCCCTCCGGATGATTTCGTTCGGTTCTGCCCATATGCCATGCGCATAAAATGCTCTCCTGTTTGCATCTCCTCTATGCCTGGCGTAGCTAGCTCGACAGCTGGAGGAGACCTGACAAACAGGCGGAACTGCTCATTAGCCTGGCTCAAGACGCGCAGCCCTCCTTTTGCTGGAAATTACCAATGTCTCGGGAACCAGGCAGCAAAGCTCTCATGGCTGCGCATGATCAGTCTCCCTGGCAGCATCGTTTGGCCAATACACTTCTGAATTTTTCAGGGCACCTAGATGGTCGCCCCCTTCCTAATGAAATCTGTGTCTGCAAGAGGGTCTATGACAGCCAGAGGGACCAACAAGGACCGATGAGCTGCATCTTGCAAGCAGCGTGCTCCTTGGTCTCTGTCGTATCACCTCATGCTTATCCGACTCACCCCCTGCGTGAAACGAATATTCGAGCATTGTTAAACCTTTAGCGGTCACTGCCCAGTCCATGTGTCCCATGCTGCGTTCTCCAGCCTACTTGCCAGAATAACCGACTTACACCGAGTATGATTTGTTTCTAGTACCCACCACCAAGCAGGGAATGTCTGCTCTTGCCCCTGTAATTTGATGTGAAATCATGCAGACAATGCCTTAGCCATGAAATGTCAGCGTACGAATTGCATTGTTTCAAATTCCTCAGGCACAAGCCGACAAGTGGAACTGAAAGCAGTGCCTGCGTTCTCTAAACAAATTTCGCGCTAGCGGCTGCCCGAGGAGACCGCGCTATCCAGCGAGGCTCACGTACAAGCTCACTGCACAAAAGCCGCACAGGCCTTGTCCGTCAATTATCCTTGAACAAATTCATGTGGATTCTGCCCTGCGGTACCCCAACGCGCAGCCTTTGAGAAACTTGCGGCAACCCTGAGCCGAAGAAGAAGCCTGTTAGACAGCACCTTTCCAACGCGGTCGTCCGGCCCTTGAGCTGTTCTTCTCGAAAACAATATGTCTGGCAGCGGGGCCCGCGTCAGAAGAAATCGAAGCTTCAGCTAATGCCTACTTTGTGTGCGCAGCCTCCCCTTTAGAATGCGAGGACCTTTGTTCTGTCTGTCAGGCGAAACTTTGGAAATCCAAATGCCTGTCAGGCATGAATAAATGCACCACATCGGAATCTGTACATCCAAAGGCGGCACAATCCGCAGCGAAGAAGCTGCATTCACGTGGCTGGCCCCATGATTCATCAGCGGTTCAGGCAGAAGACTATCGCTTTTTGCCAGGTGTGTCCGTCAAGCTCTTGCCTGGGCTCTGTTTCCGATTTGTTCATAAGCCTTGAGAAGATGACCACCTTGAATGGCAAGCACAATGTACGCTAGCTGTCCTGAATTGATGCTGTGGCGCGGATATAAGGGTCCTGGATGGCTTCCAGGACGTCTGGCCGCTTCTCGCGGTCTCGCGTCAGAAGTCGGCCTCTTGCTTTGCTCACGAGACAAATGTGGGCATTCCGACAATCAGAAGACTTTATCATCTCGTGTGAGTGGTGGTCTTCATTCCTATTTAAATCATGACGTAACACACCCTTCGGCGAACCCTTGGGTGCCCCAGAGCGTCTTTCAACACTTTTAGGCATTTTGCACAGCTCGGCTTCCGCGCGCCTTCCGCGAAAGATTTTGCTTTTGCAAAGTATGTTCTCCGCTTGGACTCTCTCCACACAAGTGGCAGAATCTACAATCTAGTGGGGAGCTTTTGCGGGAATATACTAAGCTAATCAAAAACTGCCCATCCTCATCGTTGACGGCTGCCTCCACTTCCCGAAGACGATCACACGTCGTCATAATGTCTCCACACGCAGAGATTATCTGCTGCCTGGGATTCCTCATGATGCTTCTTCATAGAGAAGCTGACTTGGCACTCTGTTTTGGAGCAGCTTCTGCGAGCCTTCCGCGAAATCACCCTTTTTTGCGGACCTTCCGCGGCCACAGCACCGTGCAGATTTCGGTGGCCAGTCCCAACTCTTATGCTGCCGAATAGATATAAGTAGTACACCAAACTAAAAAACCGCTCCTCATGTAGCATTGAGCATGTTCAACGGCGTCGGTGATCCCTGGCTATGCTGCGCAAGGACACAAAACTGAACAGAACCTGTCATTGCCAGCCAACAGCAGGGTTTAGGTCCAAGTGTCGGAGGAACTCCTTTGCTTCGTTTGAGACTTTTGGAGATGTCGGAATGACCTGCAACATGGGAGAATTCAATGGCCATCATACAGGCCTCGTCAACGATTTTTTCGGCTGGCTTCAATATCAGGTCACACGTCATCAAGTCACAGAAGTTTGAACGTGTTGGCTTGCGCTTGCGTAGGTTCTCGTTTGGCAAATTCTCTGCCTACAACCTCAATACCCTGATCCCTAGCTAGCTACATAGACCATAAAGTCCAAGTCATGTTTGGCAATAGTCTGAGATGGGGAACTCACGGTCCTAAGTCCTTGACTCTAGAGAAAGGTAGCCCTAAAGCTGATGAGTTACAAAATGAGGCCGAACATGTGAATGCAATGAAACGCTAACCGTGCAGCTAGCTCGAAGGTGTCTTCAACACCTGTCGATCGGCGGAAGGCATCCTGGAGGAGAGAAAGCAACAGGCAGGAATTGCAAAGAAAATGGAAAGTACCGTGCTATCTTATTGGGGACCGTACATAGGGGGCTACAACAGGGATGCCAGCACTTTGTGAACACGTGGCTCCCGAAACAGCAATGAGATCGGACCGGGTGGGTCCTGGCTCTGGCCCTCTCCAAAAGGCCGACGCGCGAAAAGGAGCTCCTGGTAAGGTCACTGCTTATCCGCATACCACAGCTCTGCATCCACGGCCAGCACTAAAAAATTCAGCTGGCTCAAAAATGAGTTGCTAGGGCAATTTGTGCGCATGGTCTGCATCCACTGTTTGGCAACAGCTTGGGCATCTCAGTTTTGCAGCTGGGGAACAAAGAAAAGGACACCCGTGCTCCAAACCTCAGGCTTGGCACACACCAAATCTTAGGTGTACCGTCACTGGCTCTTCAGCGGTATACGCTACAGATTTCTACGATGCAACAGCATCAACAGCTGGGAGCGGCACGTCCACTTTGCCTTGGCTGCAGGCATGCTAGTTGTAGTCAAGGATGCTTAGCCGCGTGCCTAGTCCTTGTCAGTGGGCCTCCTGCTACACACAGCCCAGTCACAAGTCAAAATCTCAAAGTAAATCATGTCAGCGGACTCTCTCGCGGACAAAATCGGAAGAAAACAGTGTCTGGCTGTGTATTCCCAATAGATTGGTCAAGGCGCTGCTGATAGTGGGCGATGCTGTCTCATGACCTTGTTTGTCAGAATGGGCTCATTTCCTCTCTAAAATTTATAAATTGAAAGCGAAGCCAAAACAAGGCCGGTCGCTTCCCGTGAGGCCCGTGTTGCAGGATTCAGGCTGCCAAGAAGCATTCGGGTGGAAGATACCAGGATGTGCCGGCGCCCCGAGTCGACAGCTCGATGATACCCTCCGGACCTAGGGATCTAAAATTTTGAGGTTTAGGAAGGTTTCATGCTCGATGGGGTTTCGGGCTGAGCAGCTTGCACATTTTGGCACAGTCTAAGCCAAGCCAATTGTCTGTCTGCATTCTGAACCCTGAGCCAGACTACCTACGCCCTGACTGACAGCACTGAATGAGGATGTATGGCAGAGGCGAGCATGACTACGAAGGAAGGCCAGTCACAAGTTGCTCTTTCAGGCTCCGGCTGGTGTCTGCCATCTTGGACAAACCGAAATCGCCAATCTTGACCTGCATGAACCCGCCACTTTCATGCTGCAGCGTTCATGGACAAATCTCGGCTTGCGAATGCTTGCCGTGCTTGGGCCTGCCCAGCATGATAGAACACATTGGAGGGCTTGATGTCATAATGGATGATCTTTCGACCGCAGATGTTCAAGTAGCGCAGCCCGCTCCTAAGTTTTTGCAGTCCAAGTCTGGAAGGTTCTCCAAGTAGCAAGGTTCAAGCCAGGCTTCAGGATCTGAACCACGATAGCTTTCGCCTCTTTCTCAGGCAGAGGGCCGTTTGCTTTCAAGCCTGGGCCGGCAGCAAATTGCAAAACAGCCAGCCAAGCTCTGCCGGGTTGAATCACATTTTGTCAGGGGTGCCGGTGATCATAAAAAGCATCTCCCCTGTGGTTATATGGGGATGATGGAAAAGAAAATGGAAACTACTATATTATAATAGGGTATATATTGGGGTTATATTGGGGTGTGTTTCTTCTGCATCCGGGATGCGTGTATCTAGTGTCTCACCTTCACACAGCTCCAGAACGAGGACGAAGACGTGACTGTCCAAAGGGAAGCATTCACGCATCTGGACGATGCCTTGACTGCAAACTGCATCGAAGAAGCATAGGCATGGGCAGCCTAGATAAAAATTTCAACAATGCACAGCAGCATTTCTTGGGTTCCGAGTAAACGAAATTACTTGTAGCTATACAATTTCCCGTCAAACCACAAATAGCGATCAACTTGTTTTTGTTTGAGTCATCGACGCTGGCAAAACATTGGAAAAGCTCCTATGCTCCGCTGAGAACAGGGGAACAGGCCATGGGGATTACTCTGAAGATTGCGTAGGCTGCTACTTGTATCAGGACCCATTCCACCGTTGCCAACAAGCACAGCATGAGTAAGAAAATCGTCTGTCACCCTCCTTGCAGGCCAGCTGCGAGGGTGTTGCAGGGTCTTCTGTATATCAGTTTCCTCGGAAGTGTGGGAAGTGGCTGGCTTTTCTTTCTCTCACGTGGAGCGGGGTGGGCCAGAGGAGCTCGTGCCAGAAATTGTCGGCCAAAAGCCACCCAAATCAATGCCGTCTACTCACACCCTAAATCCTTAAACAGCCAGGTCATGCCATGGAGGGCCGAACGAAGCAGGCAGACCTTCAAGGCTTCTTCGTGATTGCGCGCTTACGTGCCATGTCGCCCTCACGGCCCACCGCACCATGTCTGCTCGCATGGAGTCAGACATCTTTGTCTCTATCTCGTTGAGCTTGATGGCGCAGAAGCCTTAGGCTTGCTCTTCGGGCTTTACTTGGGTGCCGTAGCTGCAGCCATATGCCACCCTAGGATTGCTCACCCATCGCCAGTCAGTCAAGCTGCACATAAGCTCCAGATCAAATGCTTTGTAGATGTCCGAGAATCCGCCCTTGCCGATCATGTTCAGCAACTGAAACCTGTCCTGTCAGGGATTTGGGGGTGATTGTACAACACTGGGCAGTAACTCTGACAGCATTTGTTTTTTCGACCTCTGTGGCCCATGCCCACCATGCACTTGTTGTGTGTTTCTTGCGTAATGACCCACATGCCATGAGCAGTGCCCAACGCGGACCCTCAGCAGCGGGTAGTGTCCGAAGCGTGACCTGGCCCAATTGAAGCTCTTGTCACAATAGCTGATTACTGATTTTGAGTATGCTCAAGCTCCACACAATTGAGCTGGCTCTGCTTGTCTTCAGCATTCACCAGCATCCGGTTCTTGAGGTGAGCAGCCCTATCCTTGGCGTGATGTACTGCTTGCCCCAAGACTCCTGGTGATGTTCTGACACATACCCGCCAGTTTGAGGGCTGGTCGGCTACCAACCGGTTCTCGCGCTCCCTGATGAGTGCTTCCTCTCTCCTGTCCATCCAAAAGACATGCCATGCATGCTGCCTGTCGAGCAGCCTGTCTGTCTCACATGCGCGACCCTGCGTGAACAGCATAACTCTTCAATACATGCTAGCAAGATTTGTTGGACCCGGCAACTTCCAAGTCTTGCGTACTACCTGCCTGTTGAATCTCAACCTGCTTTCGCAACGGACATGTGCATCAATACGAGCCGTAGATATCTCATTCAAGCGGCTTCACGTACTCCAATCGGTGGCTGCATACCTCTCCTGAGTGCCACGCTGACACTTCCATGTTCAAAACTTTTTCGCACGCGGTGCAAAGACTTGGGCTGCATTCACATGCAGGCTTTTGGGGGCCATCCCCGCTGTGCCTAAGGCAGGCAGCCAGTGGTTGTCTTCTCTACTCATGCTGGGGGCCACCAGGGTACGCTGCTCAACGAGGTCATCTGTCTCTTCATCAGCCTCGTCAGTTTCGACAACCTGTCAGGCAGTTTAGATGCCCATCTGCGTATGCTACTCTACAACCGGATTTGATGCGAGGCAGCACTTCCAAATTGCAACCCCGAGCATCATCGCAGGAAAACTCCTTGCAAATGTCTCCCGATGAACCACAAAGTTGCAAGTTGCCTTGCTCTTGGACTGCTTCTGCAGCGCTTTCCGCACAGCTTCTACAGAGTCACGCTCCTGTCCAATTGAGAAGGTTTTTCATGCCAAGAGCTTGTGATCCCCAATTGTAATCCTCTGGAATTCCTTTATGCTCCAAAATAACCCACCAATCAAAGAAGAATTTGTGCATTGACTACACTCATATCAAAGAAGGCGTGCCGGAAACCCAAAAACTGTGGACGGGAAACAGTCCTGCTGCAGATTGCTCCGCATTGTCTTAATGGCATCCTCAGATGGATCGCCAACTTTCAGAGCAGGAGCTATCACGGTTGTGATGTAACATGGGTATCTCCGCTTGCAAATGACCAGGAAAGTCACAGTGTGAGTTGTAGTTGTAGGACACTCTAATCTAAGTACCTGGAGCTATATGCAGACCACATGCTTCTCATCTCACGAGCAGCCAGTCTCAGCAGAGGGACTGCTTCAGTACCGTTTTCCCACTCGCTCTGGCCGAATGGGCTTGTCTTGTACCTCCCAACCTGCGACATCATGGGTGCCGACAGAAAGCTGATGGTTCATCTTGCGCTCAGTGCACCTACACTGGCTCACTGTGTAAGCGACGTTTGCATATGTTGGCATGATTCTCATACATGCGCGGATGGCTGATGCAGCTTCCCAGTACTGCGCTCTCTGAATGTCGAGCAGCTCGAACACCATCATGAAACAGCTTCACGCGCATCTTCTCCTCACACACTTGGATCATGGCAACTGGCCGGGACATGCAGGAGTAGTTGCGACTGGGTCTCACGGCAGACTAGCTTACCTTTCGAAAGCTGATGCTTCGCGCAACCTTTTTTCACTAGAAACTCTGTTGCTTGGGTGGCCACTTGAGCAGGCATGCCATGGCATGCTCCAAAGAGGTGTGTCGTCTCAGCCACGTGCAATCAAAGAGTCCCTCTCGTTCTTCGCATTCTCGACTAACTGGTCTGCCAACATTTTCCGGCCTGGCAGTCTGAAGCTTCGAGAGCGCATTGTTTCTTCAAAGTGGATGACATGGAGGCATTTTCACACAACCGGCACTTGAGATCCTCTGGATTGTGTTTGTCCCGCAGGCCTTTCTTGGCTAGGCTGATCAGGTTGGTCATCTGCATCTTTTGCTCTGCGAGTTCCTGCCTCGGATCAGGATGACCCGGACTCCTCCATCCCAGTGGAATGTACATCCATACAGCTTGCTTGCATGGCGTCAGCATTGCGGACAAATCGCAACCTGCCCTGACGTACGAGTTCTGGCCCAAAATTAAGCTTCCAGCCCCAACCTTTAATAAGCGACACGCCATGTAAATTCCAACGAAGTCCTCGAAAGGACTAGATGTAGTACGTAGGGGTCACCTGCTCCAAATGGTAGGCTTTTCATGCCTTGCCAAGCCGCTGCAATCGCTTGATCTCCCGCTCTTTGGGACACCCAGCCTGCTGTACGTGCACGCCAAAATAACTCAGCACTTGTTTCGCGCTCTCCCGTGTTCTCACTGTGCGCAATGCTTCGTTTTATTGCCAGAACTGCAAGTATTTGTATGCACCATTAACGCCTCCTCCGGATCCAGCCCATGCTCAGGAGTCAGCGTCTGCCGGTGCTTTCCTTGGCTTTTTTTGGGTGGCCCTGCGCGGAAGCTAATTGCAAATGCCACTCGCAACATTCAGACCGGAGGTTTACTGAAAGGCCCTTCTGAAGAAAGACGCACTCAATGGTTCATGGTACCCAGTTTGGGGAATGTTGATGCAAGCTGGTGCTACGTAGACAACAACAACAGCAGGACTAATTGGCTCTCTGTAACCATGTCCTTGACATTGACATTGACAGATGATCAGCAAGGTATGGCCTAACATGCTAAACTCACCGCCGCAGTGTTGTGGAAACGTTGCAACGCTTTGCTCCAAATCCTGCCGCCTTATCAGGTCTTGACTGCCTCAACATCTAAATCTGCCCCAACCATGCGCTCGGCCCTCTCAGCCCACGGCGGCTCCGAGAGACTGTCGGGCTGACATTAGCTTGGTCAGAGTCCAGGCTTGGGACAGGTGGATGCGGTCGCTTGCTGCCTGGCCAGTTTTTTCTGTCCATCTGCGGATGGGCTTGAACTGCATTGCAGTCCACAGGCCTCTGCGGTTTTCCCCAGGTGCCTTGTGCTTCGTAGGATGAGCAACCTGAACAGGAGGAGCAGGTTCTTCTTCTGTTTGATGGGCCTTCCCGTGTCTTTCACGAAGCCTATGGCACAACCGCGTCAGCCTCACGTGCGGGTACGGTTCCATGCTGTGGAACTAAATGTTTGTGACCATGAACAATTTTTTCAGGATTTCGGAAGCTTATGATGAGGGTGTTTGAAAGTGAGCAGTGCGTGCCCTAGCCAGGGCAAGGCAACACTTTTCCCACCCAGAGTCTGCCGTGTCAGCGCACGGGCTTAAACTGTTCACAATGCGCCTAGGCACGTGCCATTGGTTTTGGAGATAGTGATTGTGGCCGCCCTTCTTCAATACTCTTGCCTATTGCCGCAAGCTATGGCTGCCCCTCCCGACATTGCACCCTTCTGCCGTTTGCCGGGTTTGTAATTTGACGGCAGAGCTCAGGGCAACTAAATCTCTCACTACAAATCCGCAACATGACTGCATGATATTGCGAAGGAATGTGAAGGGAGCGTAGGTTGCTTTCTTGCTGTGTTGAGTCCCTCCAAAATATCAGCTCAGACACCTTCAGTCTGAGATGTCCCTGTTGCTGGAGAGCCCACAAAATCTCCCCTGGGCGGATGCGATTAGCATGCCTGGCTTGAGCTGGTGCACTGGGAGTGCTGAAAATGGTGGCGCGCCCACCACAACTCTGCACTACCCGGCCACCTCACCGTTGCAAGCAGGTGAACGGATGCTGCGGCCAATTGGCAGCGCCGCAGATTTCAGAAATATCACCCGTCGGACGTTGCCGAATAAAGCACCTTGAGCTTCATTGGGAGGTACCCTTCTTTCCACATCGACCCATGATGCTACACCATGGCTTCACCCTGCTGGGCATGCAGCTGCTTCCGACCCGCTCCGCCTTCTCCACTTCTGAATGTGGCCACCCTATAATCCTCAAACAGCTGAAGCCAAGATCTGAATCCATACCCCGTGTAGATGGTTCCATTTGTGATGGAGAAGTGGTTTATGATCGTTGTCTAATTCTTACCCAGCCCAGCTACACACAACTGCTGCAGTGCGACAGGTGAATGCCCACCGTGCGAATTTTCTTTGCTGAATGGTGACTGGTGTGGGCAATTATTCGTTTGCGACTGTAGATATGGCGGGGCTCCTAAAATCTGGTGGCACGGTGCCTTGTCTGATGCGTTGCATTCCTTGGAGTTGCCTGGCGTCGTTCGGCGTCGCACGTCGCTTTGCGTCGCTCGGCACCTGGCGTCGCTTGGCATTGCTTGGTGCCCGGCGCCGCTCGGTGCCACTTGGCGCCCGGCGTAGAGTGGCTTTTGGCGTGGCTTGGCGCCCGGCGTCGCTTGGTAGCGCTTTTGCACTGCGCGGCCTCAAGCTTAAACATCTAGCTGCCTTCTGCACAAGCTGCAGAATCACAGCAAATGTTCATTTGATGCACATCCGCCCCGCCAGAAAGCATCCAAGGATGGTCTCAGTCCTCAAGCCTTATCAAGAATCATGCGACTGCGACTCACAATCAGCGTCCCTCAATACAGACTCGGCAGCCTCGCTGCGGCTTGCATGCCTCAACTGCCTGCCTTAAGTTTGGAGGAAGCGTTGACCACTGCAAGTCCCCGAATTCCTAGAAGCAAGATTTCTTCCATCTACAGAGTGGACACTGATTGTCAACATTGAACAGTTACTACTCGACTGAAAGCGCATGCCCAGTGCCTGGGTGGCGGCCTGTGAAATCTCTGTGGATTCGGGTTCCTCCTCCGGAGGTCCTGACGAAGCCTCCTGAGCGTGTCTGCAGCTGAAGTCTGTATTCTGCTTGCTAAGGGTCAAAAGCCACATGCCTTCGAGGGGTGGTCACATGCTAGCATGTCTCAGTGTCAGCACGCCATGTGCTGCAGCTTACAATTCAGCTTGCAGGTGAGAAGAGCTGACTGACAACTGCTTTGCTCGCGGCTCAGTGCTACATACGGACAGCACAATTAAGCTTCAGTTCTTGATGATGCGCCATCCATATACCCCATTTGTCTAAGACATACTGAGTGCAGCATGTTGCAGTACAGGCTTCTTGCAAACAAAGGTAGCTGAACAGCAGGGGATGTGCTTGGCTTTCGTTGCAGCTGCGTCTCATCCGTGCGAGCCGCTCTGCTCTCTTGCTTCGGCGTCCTCAGTGCGAAGTTTAGAAAGTGCCTTGTATTCTCCTTGGCGTCGGTAAGAGTGAGCCAAGGTAAACCTATACCATACTATACTATAGTATATTATACTATATTATGTTTTAATATATTGTAGTATATTATAATTCATTATAACACATGAGCTGAGAAGCTGCACCTTACTAATTCAAAGAATCCGAACTGCTCTGAGGTAGAGGCGAAGGGTCGACGGTCGTGTCTGAGCCGTCCATTCCGGCAATGGACCGGCAGGTTGCGTTAATTAAACGCCCCAGCTGATACACTACCAGCTCTTGGATGATTGCAGCATTTCGCGGGTTGCATGAAGGGGTGGGGTGGTACTGAAAGGATCCAGCCCGTTCATGTGTGTATGGGAGCCGCACATTTTGCAGGGATGCTACCTTTAGGAGCATTTTCGGGCATCCTCAACAACAAAATCCTGTGAACCGCAAGCGCGCGCAGAAGGCTTCATCATATCCTTTTGCAGCCTTCGAAGCTTGGCTGATCTTTGATCAGTGAAAGCTCGAGGAACTCCTGGAAATATCTCTGAGTTTGGGCATTCTGCAAGTGTAAGTCTTCAAGGTGCTAAGCACGCAGTAGTTTTGCTTCTTCTTCTTTCTTTCTTTCTTGCTTTCATGCGGGCTATGGACTGCTCCAGGGGGAGCAGCCCGGGCGCTTGCCCAGCCCTTGTTGGGCTTCGTGGTCCAAAAGTAGCTAACCCCTCGTCTGGCACACGTCAACATGTTTGGGTTCTTCTTCTCTCTATCTCTCTCTCTCTCGCGCATCTACTACTTGCGAGCTTGTTTCCACTCAGGGCTCTCTGGTCCAGCGGTCTGGACTACAGAAAGGCGTTCAGCCGGCAGTTGCGTGTGCGCGGGGCTGCCACAGACGCCCAGGCCAGCGTGAAATGGAACAAGTGCTCCATGGAGTGAATCTGGCGAGCGAATCCGAGCAAATCATTGGAGGTTCTCTTCATGATGCTCACCTTCGATGGCGCCTCTACATCTGTATGGCAAGATGTTAGGCGCCTCTAGCATCCTAGAAGCACAAATGCTGCAGCTACCCATGCCAAATGAGCACACATTATAGCCTGCGCACAATTCAATTCAAATGATGCAACGCATCCGCCAAAAGTTTGCAAAGAGTGTGCACAGGCGCCTTCAGCATGTGCTCGATCTTCTCCAAGTCCTTCAGCGACTGCTTGAACTCCATCGGATGCAGATCCTTATTGTGTACATACCAAGCAGGCACATCCAACATTTGAGCGCTCTATGTTGACCTGGATGCTGTGCATGACGCCTGGTGCTGCTAAGATGCTGCTTCGTGGTTCAAAGCTTCCACACCTGCGGTTTCAAAGACTTCCCACCCCTGAAGCTGTCTTCTCAAGGCCCTTTACAGTAGCCCGCATCACAACAGGCAGGCCTTCTTGGAGGGCTGCTTTGATCCTGAGCTGCTTACAGCCCTTTTTCTGAGTGCCGAACACGCCGGGCAACAGATGACAAACTTTACATTATATGGGAGATGTCGTAACAATGCCCTGAAGGCCCTCTCTCTTGCTTATCTCCTATAGTCCTATAGTCTACGGTGGAGGCTCTTACTGTAGCGGCTCTAGCAGTTAACAGCCGAATTGCATCTGCATGGCTTCCGGGCCCTCATCTTTGGCAGCGTCGAGGAGCTGCTGCGCATGGCCAGCCTCAGCCAGTCTCGGTGCCCTGCATGAGGCTTCTTACCTGCGTTGCTCTTAGTTTGGGCGTTGTCCATGTGCAGTCCAAGCTGCCATTCTCCTGCGGAAATTGGGCGTTTTCTCCCAAAGATGCCGCTTCAGTGGCGGCGGAAGCCGAGGCATCAAGAGCCGCTCCTAGGAATGCCCAGCAGGAAACAAACCACACGTCTGGTACACGACCCACCTTTAACTCTGCGTGCAAAGCTTCGGCAGTAAACTCGTTTTGTACTCGCTTGGGAGGATGCGACACGAAGCTGGCCTTAGGCTGGCAAGATCAAACTTGTCGTGGCAAGGCTGGCACCGCTAATCCTGACCTGGGGTCTTCCAGTGGAGATCCGGGAAAGGGCTAAAGCTGTAAGCTCGACAAAGGGGCAGCCGTTGGCCAGCTTCGTGTTGAAGCCCGCGGCAGGTGCCACTCGCTTCGCTCCAACAGAACTTGCTTCATTGCTGTGATGAATGAGAAGTCTTGAAGCTTTGTCTGGCTGCTGTTGCATGTGCTGCTGCAAAAGCTGTAGAAAATTTGCCGCTTAACTCTGCTTTGCTTCCCATCCTCGGAACATTGAGAGTGAATCTTGATGGTGTACGTCATACAAAGAGACGTCTCTCGTGCGATCTTGAATCGGCGCCAAGATATCGTGAAGCCATGTGATTGTGAACCATGAATATTCTTTTTCGACTTTGCCAGGGAATGGCCGCGAAGGTTCCACAGAGCATTTGCAACTTCATGCGAGTTTAAAGTTTCTACTCTTCAGCAAGCCGGCTTGCTGTACATGCAGGATGCTCCACCGGGTGAGGGTGCATGGCGAGTTTGGAGGAATGTTTCCTGGTATTCCTTTTTTCAAGAGAAGCATGCGATGGTCCGGCACTCGATGGATCTCCGAGGAGCTGCATCTGTTGGCGTTGTCGGGTCATCGAATGCAGCATGGAACACGGACTGTGTTCTGCCAGCGTCTCTTTCAAACACCTTGAACAGAAGACACTCATCTCTTGTCATACGAGGGTAGTAGTACCACTTGTGCTCAGGGGAGTGCTCAAGCGCAAAGTTGCTGCCAATTCGATCTGGAAAATGCATCTCATACCTGATTGCTTTCGAAAAGTCGACAGAGTTTGCGTCACACACAGCAAGCGGACATCTAAGCGCCGGGTCTTCACCAACACTCCTCCAAACGTTGATAAATGAATATCTTGACTTTAGGATCCTGTCGCATTCTTCTTGAGATAGCTTCACGCCGGTATAACTCTCTCCCCTTGTCAGGTCCTGCACCCTTCGAGGTGCCGACTCATGAGTGTAGTCGGTGTGGACCCTCATCACTGGTGCAGCAGCTTGAGACGTGTCAGACAGCACATTGAGACTGCCTGCCCCAGTCTCGCGGACTGTATGATCAAAAACTATCACGCTTGCGCAGCCGGTGGCCTCTCTCACAATTGCTTCTACCTCTGGGTAGTAGGTTGAGGCAACTGCTGCTGGGTCAAAGAAATTCATGCACTGTGTTGCTTGCCTTCGCAATTCAAAGCCGTTATCGTCCAGTGAGGCTTTCAAAGCTCGCCGAGCATCTCGGATGTAGACAGACGCCACTTGATGCTCGTCCGCTAGTTCACCCCCATCCGGCACCTGGATGTACCTGCCAATCCTCTTTCCCGCAACTAGCCTTTGGTAGCGAAGCTCGGCGACGACGCCGCCAAGTGCTGGCAAACATGCGCTCCCGCTTTCCATGGCTGTGGCTTCACTGTGCATATTCAGATTTTGGTTTTGCCTTTGCTTAGATTTACATAGATTTACAAGCAATTCATACAGGCCGGCCACAACACCGGCACCAGCCCAATGAGAGCTGCAAAAGAATGACCGTTCAGTTAAAGGGTCAGAAGCTGGGCTGCAGGTGCCGTATGCATACCTACCATACAGCAGGGCGTCATGTGTTGCCACTTTTTGCAAGGCGGCCTGGACTTTCCAGCGGCTGCGCTGCCAGACTTCAGCTCCTCAGCCCGAAATAGCAAGTGACAGAAGTCACCACTTATCTGGATGTGGCTACCAATCTTCTTCCCTTCGAACGGTCTTCCATGTCTGGCGAGTGGCAGCTGAATCGGTTTTGATCCCACACCTGCAATGGTGCATGAGTCCCCTTCCCCCAAAAGCGTAGCCTGTATTTCTGCAACCATCTCCAAGTGCGCTGGCCGTGTTCTTTGACTCGGATCGTAGGCCCTGGAACGTCAAGCATCCGTGGCCTCAGGAGCATAGCAGTTTCAAGATAGTGGGAAGTGAACAACTTCTTCATTGTGCAAGGGCCGACCCTAGACTGGCTGCCCTGAACATCCAGGTGCCCTGCCACGAAAGGCCTGCAACTTGACTCCAACATGCCGACAGCTTCTAGGCTCAGAGTGAGATCAAAGCTACCTAGGCCTGCATCTCAAGCTGATTGTCGTGGCAAGGATACTGTGCACAAGTGCCTTGACAAACTCTTCAGCTGTGAAGGCGGTGTCACTGGCGACGGCACTTTTTGCCTGAGAAGTCCAACCCAAATTGCGGAGCTGCAAATGATGCGTTGAATGCACAAGGTCGTGCCCAGCTCCTTCCAGCTCAGACACCGCTAGCAAGAAACAACTTGAAGTACGATAACATGATTCAAATGACATCCAGGTACTACTGCAAGCTGTGGGGTGATGGCGTGAAGAAATGTCTCAACCTCAGCAGCACCAAGCGCATGAACAAAAGCTGCACAAGTCTCATGCGACAATGTGACAGCTCGAAGTCCACATCACTATGAGTCCCGGCGTTCTCCACACTGATCCTTGGCTTCTCTGGGGGGTCATAGATCTGATTGACCCTTGCTGGGTGTCATTTCTGCATGCAGCCAATCAAGCAGGTTTGAGAAGGACGATCTGTTGTGACAACGAGATGCACCACCGATCACCACCGCTCAGCTCTGGACCAGCAGAGATGACGTATCTCGGGCCGCCCCTCAGCTTCACGCCAAGTCAGCGCTCCAAGCTGGGGACGTGCATCAGTTTACAGCTCCAGCATCTCTTGCAAAAGCCAAAGAGTAGCCAAGTTCCTGGCCTTCTCAGCAGCAAGCAGTGGAGGCCTCAATCTTCAGGTCACATGAGGCCTCACTCCTCACGTCCACTCCCGGTGCTGCCGCCAACCCCTGCATGGAGCGCGCCTGGTGATGGACGGCGGATGCCTCACGTCAAAGGCCCATCAGGCAATCTGTCTTTTGTCTATATGCTGCCAAAAAACCCAGCATGCTGTGCGCCTTGAGATGGCGTCCAGCATCCCTTGCAACAGTGACGGCGATGCATCTGACCTGAGTTGTGGAAGCGGAACTAAGTCTTCGTGTACTTGTGTCACGTGTGCTTGACTAACCAAACCGCATGTTTGCTGGCTATGTGCAGTGACATTCTCAGCACATGACCCTGCTAGCATCAAGCACTGAAGATGCGGTGTTACTTTGGCCAGCAGCCAAGCCAATTCAACGCCAGCCTGACCAAATCTTATCTGATCATCTGGATAAGCGGCTGATGCCTGCTGGTTCCTCTACGCCCTGCGCCTTCTTGTCACTCAGACCCGTGCAGCCTGCTGAGAAGGCAAGCCTCGAACTGCAGCCATGATGGACCGGAAGAAACATCATGGCCCTTCGACTTCTAGTCACGGATTTGCCGCCTGTACAGCCCTTTCTTCAGGTGAAAAAGAGTATGCAGCTTTTTCAGAAGCTTGGGCCAATGCACACGGAGAGCCATGCCAGTGCCGTTTCTGAGCCTTCGCCTCAAAATCTGCAATGCCACCACCTCAGTCGAACCAGAATTCTCTCAGAAAGCCATGCCCCGAACACTGCCTGCTGGTTGCTCCTCCTTTCCCGGCTGCAATACAATAGCAAGGGCAAGCGAAGCTGAGCAAGGAACGCCCAGTTCGAGCCTCTCCAGCCTCTCACTTCGCACAGAAGAGCCGTGGCCGATCGCTTATCGGGTATGCAACAGTGTGTCATCAATATCAGGGTCGGTGAGTCTCTAAGTTTCAAGACTGGAGCTGCAAGTGCTTCTTGCCAAGTGCCAAATTATGCCTACATGATGTGGAGGTTGCACCCTTCCCCGGGATGCACGCCTCAGCTCCTGCAGACTGTTCGCCAGTCTACCAGCCATCGCAGACAGCCATAGCCCCACCTGATTTAATCAAGTAGTGGGCCTACTTTGGCTGGATGGTGAATTCTATCCATCTGCCGGGTCCGATGCCCCATCCAACCAATGCGGGATGCTGAACTCATGCCTTCTGACGCCGGAGGGAAAAGGCTTGGGATGAGACCCCGAACTGGGCGAGAAAGTGCAATTTGTCAGAACCTCGCAAGCTGGCACTTCAGAGGGCCCAAGAACTACTGCCACGAATCCGCCCGGAATCCTATCTAACTCAATATAGTAGTTCCCATCTCACTTTCCATTTGCTTCTCCATTATCCCCATATAACCCCTATATATTCCCTTTGATATCGTAGCAGTTTCCATTTTTATTTTCCATTATCCCTATATAACCCCTATTCTCCATTATCTCCCTATAACCCACATATACATATATATACATGTATAGAATATATATATATGTATTTCTCCCTATAATCATCTAGCAGCAATGCAAGCTGCATCCTGAGTTGCTTGCGGGACTCCCCAGGATTCTGGCCTCAGAGGCCAGACAACTTCCTGCCCTCTGACAAGCAGACTCGGGGATGTAGGTACCCGTTGGGGCAATATTGGGCTTATGTTGGGGTTAAATTGGGGTAAGATTAGGGTAATATTTTGGGTTATATGGGGTTATATTGGGGATATAATAAGGCTATATTGAGGCTATATCGGGGATATATTGGGATAATTGAAACTAAAATGGAAACTAGTGTTTAACATACACTGGCCTTCCACCGCATCCTCGGCCAATGGAGCTTCAGGCAGGGCACCTTTGGACGAGTTTCATTCTCTCAAGAAGAATACAGACCTGGTTCTCTAGTATAGATTGCCCTGCCTGCGCTTGCAGAAGCTGCGTGCCAGCCAGCACTTGTGCTGCGACCTCGACTGAGACGAAGTGAATTGCTGTCCTGCAGCCAACCTCAGGGTCGGCCTCCACCTCTTTCTCCCGGGGACATGCTCAAAGATGAGAAGGCCTGGACATTCTCAAGGCTTGCCAGAAGTGCAAAGCAACGTGACCAGTGAGTGATGCAGGGCTTGCAAACAAGCATCACACGCATTCTCGACTTGACAACCCGCTCTGCAGCCCAGCCTGACCGTGCTGGCAGTAGCCAGCCTCCAGTGAGATCAGGGCCTGGCAAAAGACTGGGAATTGCCATTCTCTTTTCGTGGCGTTGCCTGTCTAAAAAGCCGTAGGAACGGTGCCGGCTGCTGCCCCAAAACTTTTTCACTTCTGTACTATTCGGGGCTACCTCTTTTGCACCTTTGTAGGATACCATAATCAAATTACTCATCAACGGCTATCAGACACTTCTGTAGACCTATTGCCACCCAAATGGGGTACAGGTTTATTTTTGTCT